TACAGCTAAATAGTGAGATCATGGACAGAGGGGAGTCTGAGTGGGATAAGGTGGGACAAAAGCTCACAGCACGAACGCCACTGAGGTCGGCTCTTAGCCATCTCAGCAAGTGTATCCAGCCAAACGTGTTCATCATCTTTCGGACCCCAAATAGGGAGCAGACACGCTCCAACCGGGGCCAGATTCAAAGTGAGGGCCTTCATTCCTCTCGACTCTGTCATCGCTTGGCCACTCCTCCTCTTCTTCCACCCACACCTCCGGCGCCCAAACAACGCACGTCACGGGAGTCGGCGGGCTGGCAAGCGTAACACGTGACCCTGCCGTCGGAGCCTGATGTGTGTAATAACGGTGCTGAGCGGTTCATTTCCTTTTCCTGTGTCGTAAACAAGGCTTGTTGTTTACTCGGTGTTCCCACCAGATGTGAGCCGAATTGCGAAGGCACCGGTGGTCGAACATAACTACCCACTTTATGTCCGCTGATTTAATGGGCCAGGTTTCGCAACCGTACAGTAGGGTCGAACGTAGCGCTGCACTGTTCACCCCACCCTTCAGGGCAAGAGTGATGTCGCGCCGGCGCCATAACGGGCAAAGGTTAGCAAAAGCGCCTCGAGCTTTTGCTATACGGTTCGTGATCTCATCTTCAATCCCACGGGCGCTGATACAACTTCCCAGATAGTGAAATTTTTGAACGACTTCTAGCTGATCCCCACCAAAGGTCAGCGAAGGAGGCGGTCCAAGCCAATCTTGGAGAAACACTTTGCACTTCGCGGGTGCGAAGCAAAGTCCGAAGTGACGGTTAGCTAGTGGTAATCTGTCTAGTGCAGCTTGGCACGTTTGTGAGCTGTCACAGATTGGAGCAATATCGTCAGCATACTCCATGTCAAGAAGTCGTTCTCCTGGGAGCAGATCCACACCTTCTAAGTCGTGTCCTGTAAACGCGATTTCCATGACTTAGTCAATAGCGAAGTTGAAAAGGAAAGGTTACAGTGGGCATACTTGCCTAACACCGCTGGAGAAATTGAAGGGCGACGACAGCTTGCCCTAAGCCTTCATTCTGCCCAAGATACACACGTATAATGCTTGCATAATATTTACCTATTTCTCGGGTACACCTTTCTTGACTAGGCAGTCCCAAAGTGAACGTCTATCCACCGAATCAAATGCACCTTGATATCGCGGAACGCGACAACGGTTGGCCGCGAATATTTGTGAAGGTGCTCCAACAACTGACACAAAGTGAAGATGTGGTCAATGCAGCCAAGACAGCGACGAAATCCGGCTTGCTCTTCACGAATTTGGCTTTTACGAGCACCAGTCATTCTGTGAAGGATGACAAAGGCAAGAAATTTGGAGGCTCTGGAGACCAGGCTGCTTCCCCTAGGGTTGCTGTAAAATGATTGTGAGCCTCCATTGAAAATTAGGACTATGACGGAGCGGCTCCAGTCAGTTGGGACAGTTTCCTGCTCCCGCAGTTTCACTAGTAACGCGTATGAATCATACACAGGAGCAGGTCCCCGAATTCGAAGAGGGCTGGATGAAGGCCGTCTGGTCCTGCGGCTTTATTTAACTTCAACAGTCCGACCTCACGTTCAACTTCTGAGCGAGAGTGTGGATCCAAAGGGACAGCCCACGGAGCGGGGCGATCAGGGACCGGTGAGAAATCTAACAATTCCGACCTATTAAATTACGTTTCAAACCGCTCAGCCCAACACTTATAGCGTTTTGACAAGTTGTGGATAGACTGTCCACTCTCATCACGAATATTTTCACTAACACCAGGTCTCCTGCAGCCCGTTTCACGTATCAGACGTAATAAATTCCGATGGTTACTAAGAGCAGCTGTCATTTCCATCTCTGATGCACGATGAGACCACCAGGATTCGCGGTCTGTCTTCAGAATAGCAAGCAATTTGCCCGGAGTTTGCTGCGAGTCTCATTGTGTTCGCTTCCATCTGGAATGTGCCGGCGAGCGTCGATAAGTTCCAGAGACTGCGAAGAGACCCAATATCTATGTTGGCGATTAGACTTACCACGTGTGGATTTTCCTGCTGCTAGTAAGGTCTGGTGAACATTAGACCCGTGGGCTTCAATTGTATCCAGTGAGCGCTTACTCAACTCGCAGTTCTGCGTAGTTTGATAGGCATTCAGCACAGCTGGCTTCGCCAGTTGCCTGGTGTCAATGCGCTCACAACGTCATCGTGGGCCTCCACCAAAACGCATCCGCAGGTCAGCACATACAAGTGCATAGTCGGTACCCACACATGTGCTCCCAATCGAGAGACAGTTATGGACGCAGCATCTCCAGCAGTAACTGATCGCAATGGGATCGATTTGCGTCCATGGCTGGTTCGAGGCTGGTGGGCGCCAAGTCACCTTCCAGTGGGTGCTGTGTCGGAAATTAGTGCTCGCAAGAAATAAGTGAGCATCTTCCCACAAATGAAGTAAGTGCTCATTGTTAGCATTACGGGAGCCTACACCGTGCTGGCCGCCCAGATGCAGTGCATCAGTGGATAATTTTCCAACTTCAGCGTTCAGATCCACAGCCAGTGTCCGAGCTTCTTCTGTAGCGAAGGAGCTCATTCATTTGGCGGTAGAAGTCGTCTTTTGCCCAATCATCGCTAGAGTCTTTGGGTTCATAGGCAGCGATAACGAATAGGCACTTGTTAGTCCAGCGCGGTTTCGAATCGTTGAACGTGCCAGCCAATCGGACCACACACATCCGGCTACTGATTGGAATCCAATCAACCAGAGCAGCTTTAGCCCCGGGGACTCAGGACAATACCAACATCCGCTTATCCGGTGCTCGAAACTGCTTCGTCACCGGCTAGGCGCAATGAGAAAGTGCTTCTGATATCAGCTGAAGTAGATAGCAAAATAAACACAGAGCTCGAATATTGCAGGCGTATCTCTGATAAGCAGCAGATATCGATCGAGAGGGTCTCTAATGTCCGGGCAAATGCTGCCTGTTGACCAACGTGCAGCAATGTGCGTACATTGGGGCATGCAAATGTGAGGGAGGATCGTGGGCTCTAAATGGAGTCTGATGAGCTGGGCTTGGCTGCTTGCTTGGACATGCGTTTGTCGATAGGGCAGGAACGACGCTCCGTGTTCACATGTGGGTTGAAACTAGAAGGTAAAAGTCTATCAAAGCAAGGTGGGGTGGGGCCAGGAATTGAGGGATTAAAAACAGTAGGGATAAAAGGGAAGCTGGAACGGGACGATAAGAGTGAAAAGCATAAGAGGGGGAATAAGAAGATGGGAAGGCTTGAGCAGTAGTATGCAAACCCTTAGCCACCACGCTTGATGCAGTGGATGGGGCCCCGTTGATTATCCTCTGCGGTGGCCAGAGTATTAGGAAATTGTTTGAAGAGGGATTCATAGTATTGTGTGGCAGGATACTGTCAGGTTGCCCAGGCCTAGACAGGAGAGCAATTAGGGTTCTCAACCACAGCCTTTGGTTCAAAAACCTGACCGCAATGCAGTGGGTTTGGTGTAAGGCTATAGGGTGTCCGTTTTGAGGAATAAGGAGCCACCCTCATTCCAACCCCCAACCTGGAGGACCAGGAAGCTGAGTTTGTTTGGCTTCTAACCACTGACCAATCTGATATAAATGGCTTTCAAGATGCAAAAATGCACCACCCAGTATAGTTCGATGGATCTCTGAGGCCCGCAAACCATCGCACCACCATGAGGTCCAGCCTCATTGCGATGATATCGATCGATAGGGCATCTAGTGTTCGGACAAGTGCTACTTGCTGACCGCACGTTCGTACGCTGATGCATTCAAGCCTTAGCGAGGATAAAGACTCCAAATTGAAACTGCTGGACTGAGGTATACCGCTTGGCTGAACATGGTATGGCTGACTGGACCGGAGCGATGCCCTACGATTGCATGTGGGTCAAACTTAGGAACAAAGCGACTACCGTAGCAAAAAGGGCAACATTTAAGGATTGGTTGATTGCAAGCGGGGAGATAAAAATGAATTTGGAACGGACTTCTGAAATAAATTTGCCTAAGAGGAGGTATAACAAGATGGGAAGGCTTAAGCAGTAACGTTCTCACCCCAAACCACTCTGTTCGATGGAGCAGATGAGATGCAATTGGTTAAACTAAGTGACCGCCAGATCATCAAGGAAAAGTTTTAAGTGGATTCTATTTTTTTACACCTACAGGATATTGTCAGTTCCGTTATGCCGAAAGAGAAGAAGGGGCATGGTTTTCAACCAAATCCTTTCGTTCTAAATCTGATGCGAGCGATGAAACAGCAATCTGTTTATGCACCTGGTATTATCATTAACCTGCAGTAGCTTTCAACAGTAATCCAATTTTTCATGCAAAAGCAGCAGTCTATAACATGAAATGATCAGTAACAACATAGTTAATATCAACTTGCGACAGTCGCTATCGCAAGCTGTTCTAGACCATGGAAGTCCTTCATGAACAGTATGCAAAAATGGACGAGTGTGAGCACACAAATTAATGCACGAAACACTGCAATCGATTGCATTCTCTAATAATCATGACAGATTGGGTAGTAAGGAGTTACAAGCGGTTCTACTGGACTGATCTTGCGTATCCGATTTGTGCGTGAAGTTTCAGTAGGTATGTATTTAGGTACCCAACAGCATGTACAATTCTTAAAACACTGAACACTGACCGATAGTACTCACTGTGAGTTTGCAGCGGAAGCAGTAACAGATGGTGCGATTCAGTCATCTAGAGTAACTTTATAACCCCCAAAGCACTGTGGAATATCTTTTGGACAGTATGGTTGGTCGTGAGTGCTCACTGGGTCATCAAGCTTCCTTAACGGCCTTTTTTTTACCAACCGATCTTTTAGCGACTGCCAGATATTCCGTTCGCCATTGAACGTCAAAAGTACACACCAGAGAAGGATGGTAAAGTACAAACAGTTTAACCTGTTTGGCTCATTCTTCACATAAATTGAACGAAAAAGAACCATGTTATTAATCAGACTTCATCAATTCGCTAACCTTACCTGTCAAGTATCCGATGTAAAAGTCACTCAAGTTTGACCTTGGGCAGTGACCAATCCAAATTTCGGTCCTCTTGGATGTGTGTAAGGAACCTTCTGTGCTATCTGAAGTGAAAATATAACATGTTGTTGTCACTGGGAGGCTATGTTACGGGATTACACTTTAAGAAATAAAAGTTTTGTGATCCAGTCTGGCATGTCGTGGACACAGTGCAGAGCTCCACATACAGCTCTGTTCCAGCCAGACATGTGCTCACCGACATTTTTTACGAATGTGCGTGCTGGCTAGCCGAACAATCTCTTCATGGTGCCAGCTGAGTGGTTCGGGTTAATCCCGTTCCAGCTAATAGTTCGGCGGCAGCGTTCCAGGACATGGCAGGAGTTTGCCTTGCAAACCTTCTCCCTATAAAAAATAACAAAGGTCCGTCTAACAACACTAAGACGCGGCGGATGTGATTCGCAACTAAATAAAGTCACTGCCTCTTCCCTTTCTGAAGGAGGTTTCGCACTTCACAAACGTCATGCAGTTTAGAGAGTTCCTTTGATTCCTTCAGACGATGGCGAACACAGCGAATCAAATCTCGAATTCAGAGTCATATTAACAAATTCAGTCACCATGTCCACTTACACATACATCTAAATATATATCTGCACACATAGATCCAGTATATTACCGAGTAGCTTACGATCTTTTTTGCACGTACCGACTATACGTATTTATGTTATTATTATCATGCCTTCGCAGGCGTGCCTGGCACTGCCGAGCATAAAACATTAGTTTATTTATCATTGATGTGTGTGTATATGTAACGCACACGATTAACGGCATACGGTCCCGAATTTACCTGTCACTTTGGCTTCCATAAGACAGCCACAGGACGCCTGCGCCTACAGAGTGACCATGGGTGGGTTGCGCTGCACCAGTCACAGTTCCATGCACATTCCCCATATCCGGTTTAGACCTGGAGGCATATGGATGAGAGGCAAATTTCATCAACGGAGCCGCGCGACACTCCAGCGACCTACACAGTAGCATTCATCTGTCTACTTGGGGAAGGCATGGGTATAATAGGTACACAAGTGGTGGCTGGGTTTTAGCCCGTCCCACACTGCATGGAACCATTCGTTGAGTCTAGCACGGTTACGAGGACAATGCACCCCGTCTCCCCCGCAACGAATGACTGTCTGCTGGAGCCACTAATAGGGGTGCAGGGTGTTAGACAGAAAGGCACCTTGTCAAGATTCACATCAAGCGCAGCGACGCCAGGGACATTAATCAACAAACACCGAAATTGCAAGAAAATAAACATGCCAAATTGAAACAGCATATGCAGCAATACCATAGAACTGTGTAAATAATATAAATGTTATGTGTAAGTCGGTGCGTCTCAACTGTTGTGAGGAGGCATGATATATGCAACATCAACATGAGGCACACTGCAAAGTACAGAACAGCACGCCCACCTATCAGATCCATGTGTTGTAATAGCCCTCTACAGTTCCCTATCTGATGCCAATTTTGATCATTTACTGTGGGATCAGTCTCTCGTACCATCAAGAAATGAAAATTTTATTTATTTCTTAGTATATATCTCAGAAAATGCGAAGAAGTTATCTTTATGTTGCCAGGTCAGGTTAGAAGCAAAGTAAGTGCATGTTAACTCCAGAGTGGCAACAAGCGCCGTATTCCTTTCTCACTATGAGGCGGGAAAGTGACTTTTGCGATTCCCATGACCTGCAATCAAGATTAGAACGTGAGAGGCTCACTTTGATCATGTCCTAGTGACGTAACTTTGGTTTCCCCACATGCCGCTTCCCAATACTCAACTGACCATATAAGAGTTGTTTCGGTATCCGCGTCGAATCCAAACTGCTCACATGACCGATCCACCTCAGGTGTCTCAGCAAAAGTATGCAGTCCACTGCATACATCCCACTTCGACGCAACACTTCAGTGTTGGCAACTCGTTCGCCCCAACCGATGAGTAAAATCCATCGTAAACACCGCAGATGGACCCGCTCGAGATTTCGCACATCCAGTCGGTACATCGTCCACGTTTCACTGCCGTGTAGAAGAACGGACAGCACCATGGATTTGTACACCATCAGCTTCGTGCCAATGGTAAGCTGATGGTTGTTCCACAATAGGTACTCAAGCTAACCGAACGCCGTAGCTGCCTTCGACGCGCGGATACGCAGCTCAATGTGTAGCTGCTGATCAGTCGATAAAACACACGCCCAAGGTAGTGGCAGCGGGAGGTGGTTTCCAATACTTCAGCACCAATGCTGATTCGCGGCAATATTGAAGATTGCACCTCCGGTGAAGGCTGAAAGAGACAGACAGTTTTGCTTGTACTGATGGTGAGCCCAAATTTGGTCGCTGTCGAGGCCACAGCACAAGTCGTATACTACAACTCATCCGCGCTGTGTGCAAACAACCCACAGTCGTCAGCAAACAGCAACATACGGATAGTTGTCTCACAGACTAGAGTTCTCGCATCGAAACGACGAATGTTCAGCAAGCCTCCATCAATACGGTGCTCCAAACGAACACCATAAGCAAAAGCCGCATCAAAGGCACAAGACAACATTGCATGAAAATATATATTAAACAGGGCAGGAGCTAAGACACAGCCTTGCTTCACACCAGAGACAACTGCAAAGTCATTTGAGGTCTCTCCACTCAGCTGCACCCTCGCCCGCATATCACTGTGCAGACATTCAGTTAGACTTACAAAGTTATGGGGGTAATCAAACTTGCCCATCACCAGCTACAATGCCTCGTGGTTCACCGTATCAAATGCCTTGGTGAAACCAACAAAAAGCGAGTAGAACGACTGGTGTCGTGCTCTGCACTTCTCTTGCAACTGACGAGTCTCAAACACCGTATCTATAATGCTGCGACCAGAACGGAATCCACATTGCTCTTCCACCACGTTGGGTTCCACAGCCTGACTGACGAGGCGGTTGAGCAGGATTCTGGCAATCACCTTGGCCACACAACTATGCAAGTTGATGCCATGATAATTCGTGCAACGTTGCCTGCTCCCTTTGACCTTGTACAGTGGTAGCACAAGGGCATCCTTCAGTTCAGAAGGCACCTCCTCCTCAATCCATACGCATTGTACCAAGTGGTGCAGCGCAGTCACTAACGCGGGTGCGCCGTGTTTCAATACTTCATGCTAGATCCCGTCGGTCCTGGCACATTTGCCGTTTCGCAGCTGAGCAAGTGCTCTCTGCATCTCATCCAGTGTCGGCGTGTCCGCCAGACTCGTCTTCACATCGTGCTGCTTTTATTTATTTATTTATCCCCAAATGTGCGGATTCGCTTGGCACCATAGCATCCGATGGCTTGTCTGGGTGAAGATTAACTAATTTTTCTGCAGATCAGAGCTGTTAAAGATGTTTAAACGTTTGGACACCAGTGAGGTCTTTTTCTCCAAGACATAATTCGGCACTGCTTTTCTAGATTCCCGAGTTTGCCTTTCAACCGCTACTCGTTATCCATGGATGTTGATGTGAGGCCAGTAAGTTTTCTTTTAAATATTTCGAGCTGTGCATGAGTTACTATTTTTAACAGTATTCGGCGAAACACAAAATTTCAGACCCTAGCGTAGCACTACAAGTTACAGTTGAGTTAAGTGGATTGATGAGATGTTGGTAGCGTACCTCGATGGGTCAAAAGGTAAGATTTATTCACAAAATTATATCGTTCAGTATCTTATCAAAGTGCTCAGTCCAAACTTTCTTAATTTCATGCCCAGTATTATGACAGTTTATAAACTTGAGATAACATACCAAATTTAATCTGTCTAGTCATTTGGGCAAGTATATCTATCGATATTGCTCAGCGGATTCCTCATGAATGCTCCTGGTGATCTGCGTTAAATTCCTGGCTTTCGGCGCTAACCTGTACGCTCGAAGGCTAAATGGATGAGACCAACAGAACAACAAGAGTTCATGAAATGTCAAGGTTGTTGTTCGCATACAATGTGATTAAGCTCTATTGTATCCCATAGGCCCCCTTTTCAATATCAATTGTCCTCAGTAAACACCTCTATACGGTGTGCTTTGGCAGTAATCTTGATACGCCTATGCAAGCCACTGAAAAGAGCGGACGACCAGGAAGCATATTTTGAAGTGACTTATCGCGAAATATTTCGTAGAATGCGTATTGGACCACCGTTGTAAACACGAATGCATGTTTCGGTGTGGCTCTCTTCCATCCCTGCACTCAGGGAACGACGAATGCATGCTGTTTCAGCCATCAGTCATCAGTTTTCACAATCAAGAATTGACATGACGCCTGACAACTGCATGATGCTAAATACATTCAGTGCACTGATTTGCGGTGCACTGGAACCTCTTTGACAGTTTGGATCCCCTAATTATTCCTTACTAGTGAAGCAACACACACTCCCAGGACCGTAACATATTGACTGACTTGACCGGCAGCAGTTGGAACACAAGTTAAGTTTGTGCATCACTTGGTGAGCGGTGCGATGAACCATCTTATGAGAGTCTGGGAAGAATCAGTAGAAGCTAGTGATAGGTTGCTAAGGCATGTACAGCACGTGAAGTACGGGGGCCAATGCCAGAGGTTGACAGCCGGTGAAAAGCAGAAAAACCAGTGTATCTGTCCACAACTTCCATCCTGACTGGCCCCTGTGGGATGGAGTCCAATGCGATGAAGTTTGCGAACAATCAAGGCGTAAATTTAAAGCAGTTAATTCCCCTCGGTAATTTGAAAAGCACAATGAGATTCCGAAGTTCGGCAGATGCATACATTTCGTACCGTCTCCTCACCACCGATAACAACAACTGGTGTATACAACAGTTTTGGGTGCAGACATACATACAAACAAACAAGTGAAAAGCATGTGTCCGGTTCCTACAACTAGGGCAGCCTGAGGCTGACCGATAATTGTCTTTGCACACAAAGCACCGGATTGCATCAACCTATGGCAGTGGCCTCGGCGAACCGGAGGAGCCTGGAATTGGCATGTCGAAGCAGGATCCTAAACGCCTTGTTGACCTCAATTCGGTGACGCGAGGTCAATATGTGACTGTCGATCGAAGATGGCGGCTGCCTGTGCACAAGCGTAATCGGATTTGGGCTTGTTAGTCACATAGTCTCGCACTGAACCTATTTTGACACATGCTCCTTCATTCGGGAATTCAGTATTCCACTGGTCCTGACTATGTACGTAGCTCCGCAGTTACATACGAATTGGCAGATGCAGTGGGAGTTGGCCCCACTTAGGAGTCCGGTTGATGACTGCGACCTCAGCAGCACCGGAAGTGTTCTATGTGGTGGAAATCAGACGACTTACAGTCCTCATGGAGGCAATGTCACCCTTAAAGGGCAGTTCTAAGAATACATTTTTCTTAGGTACGGTTGGCACAGCAGCTTTCATATCACGCATTTGGCTGTGCTACTGGATAACTTTTCGAGGGTAACCATTAGCAATTAACGTGTTGGTAATTAGGTTTAATTTATTAGCCGGACACTCGGTCGAACATATTCGTCTGGCACGACTAAATGGGGGCTTTACAAGCGTTCGCTTGTGTCGCATCGGCGTAAAGCGGGTAAAATGCAGATACTGTCCAGACCACGTAGTTTTTCGATAAACACTTTTACTAGGCCGTTCTCCCTGAGGCTGATGAGAAAATTTAGATGTAGCAGACAGTTCTGTCGTTCGACTTCGCATGAAAAACTCAAATTGACTTGCGAGAAGTAAAATCACGTTACTACCTGTGTAATATACATTGCCGTTGAACAGAACACCAAGATATCGTTCCCATAAGGTTTGTAATAGTGTAACTGCGCTATTTCTTCGGATAGGTCTCATTCTATCATCAGCATTAAGAAATGCTCTAGTATGGGACCCAGAGAGCTGTCTATGGCTAAGCCTTCAGTTTGGCGATACAGCTGTCTTGGGCGTAGGGGTGTCACGCCTGCCGCCTACCCTGTTCTAACTTGTTTCGGTCTCATCTTACCTGTCATCGTATATATTTTCATGTTATTGTCTTAGCACTGAAGAGACAATGCGAAATGTTGACATCTGCCCGTGTGCGTCTGCTTACGGCTTTATTCAAATTACTAAAGGGATATAATTGTTTCAAAGATACGGTATGTTTCCGAAGTGGAAAGCGACGTTATCTATGCATAGAAGCAATGATTCTCTTAACAACTCAACCGCTATCGGCAACGAAAATCCGCAAATTGCTGCTAGTTCGCAAATGTAGTCAACGGTCTGGTGTAGCGGCACGTTAGCAAATAAGGATTCTACATCTAAAGAACATATCTGCTTATCGGAGGTTCATGTTATCGGGATCTTTGACAAGGTCGAAGGAATCTGCCAGCCCATGTAGATTAAACTGAGCCCTTAGCAGAGAAATCACATTAACCAACCAGCGAGCTAATTTATTTTAGGGCACGTTTGTCATCGAGAGAATCGGTCCGAGCGGCACTCCGCTCTTGTGCGTTCTTGGAGGTCCATATAACTGCGGGGTAGTTGATACTTACAGCTATAAAATGTTATAATTAGCACTGTCATATCCCCGCCTTCTCTAGTGGTTTAACTTTGTCAGCGTCACTGAGTATGGCGCTCAGAATCACGATGTATACATCTTTAGTCATGACTACAATTTTTTATCCCTTATCCAGCTTCATTACAACGACATCCTTATCGCAAAATTCGCGTAACGCTTGTAGGTGCCAGTTCGTAAGCGCGCACTTTTCTTTAATTGGTGCCTATTTTTACTTCAGAGACAACATCGTCAGTATGTTTCTAAACGATTTAAGCTTATGGGTACTAGTTGACTGAATGTCGTTCAACTGATCGAAAAAGTGCTCAGACTATGCCTCAATACACTATCCTATCAATCGTCTAGGAGGCGCCCTGTAATCTAGCCCGAAAGACTGCTTCTTACTGTACAGCACAAAAATTCACACTTGACATATTCACCACAAACTTACTGTGGTCACGAGTACACGGTTCCTCACCTTGGTTGTTCAGCAACTAGTTTTCGAGCTTAGGTATTTCTTTCATTTTGGTACGATCGAGGTTGGCTTTTCAAAATTAGGCGAATATGATCCGATAGCAGATTGACAAGTTTTCCACTACGGGCAACAATCGTGCGTGGGTTTCCAGTAGGCAATCAATTGTGGTTTCCGCGTTCCCCAGCTAAGCGGACAGGACAAGTAAGAGATTGGCTGCAGAAGCTTTAGCCTTGGTTCTAAGTAACAGTTGCAAAATTGCCCGAGGATAACCAGGCATGCCTAAATACCTATAGATCAACAAAGCACTGCCTTATCGTCACAGGATGCAATAGAATTCATCCTAAGATTCATTCCGCAAGCAAGCTCAAGACCAATGAGACAGGTGTTGCTCTTTGCAAAGTGGACGCTTAGGCCATTTCCCATTTCAAGCCGTGGTTCAATAGCAACACGGCACTGCATGAATGCTAGTACAGGGTGTTTCATTAATCATGTCCGAAGCTAAGTGCGGCTGCGCTCAGGTGTTGACGTACCCCGGCTCGCTGAATTGCTAACTTTCCAATGGCGTAAATGGCTATGCCGGCAAAGGGTAGATGTGGCACAGAAGCGCGACATGTGTGTCTAAGATCGCAGGGCACACCGAGCCGTTCAGCTGTGAGAAGTGTAAAGGCAACCCATAAAAACACATTAAAATTCGGTGTTGTTGGGAGACGACCGTTGTCGTATCTCAGTAATAGCCCCAGGCCTATCCATAAATTGACCCGTACCACCAGTATGACGTAGATCCGATGAACGGAAACAGACCACTCTACCGGAACAGGTGCATGTCGGTGTATACGATGGAAGTGACGCAGTCTGGGAGGATGCAGCTGACGCCGTTAGGGAGCAACCGATGAAAACGTGTTCAATTAAGCAGCAGCAAACTGGGTCTTGCCCGCCTGAAAACACTGCACTCAATGACGCGTTTCGAGTTTATTTCCTCTCAGCAGATAGAGATAGCAGGCATTGAACCCGGGACCATTGGAATGATAGTTAGGACCGCTACCCCAAATCCACCGGGTCACAATGGGCAACGCTTGGCACAACGGTTAAGGACCGATTGGAAAGTCAATTTGAAGTACATGTTGTGGGGGTGGATTGCCACGTACAGTCTCAAAGTGGATCGCGATTCGCATTGAAGTGAGCCAAATTTGCTGCTGCTTCATCAGCTACGGTCCTATTGATCGAATGGCCAAGGTTTACTTCGATGGGAATCGTAGTCCACTTTGAGATTGCACGTTGCAATCCATACACACAACATGTACTTCAAATTGACTTTCCATTGTGTTCACTTATTGCAGTATTAAACACGACAACTTAATCTCCCGATTACTAATGTGTGAGGCTTTTGGTGTTATTGCGTGGATAGTTTAGCGCAGTATGCTCTAAGCCAAGTGGCCTAGCTACATCAGGAATAGCACCAGATGGCCTTTTCGTCCTGTTGGGACTCGTCAGTGCTGCACCTCCTGGGCTGCATCAGGAATCGGGCTCATGACCACCTGGTATTAAGTAAAACATTCACCTTCACGGTTACTAAATATCATGTTGTACGTAGCTTCTGTTGTGGGAATTCGTGATTGTGGGGACCAGGAGTTCCTTTTGCAATGTCTTTATCTCTCGTCGCAGTGGAGGATGAGCCGCACCATATCACAATTAGGTTGCAAGTCATGACGGTCTTCTACCGTCATCTTCGCTTAGTTACCCAAGCTACTGTCCAGTGACACAAGTCACTGTTGTCGGGACAGCATAAGTTTGGCACCTTATGGGGTCTGACGATGAGCAGCACTGACGAGTCCCACTAACACGAAACGGCCGTATGGTGCTTTTACTGTTGCGTGGTAGGCCGCATGACTTGGAGTTTACTGCCATGGACTCACGATACAATCTTACATTTGCGTAATCTTGAAGAATCGTTAACTGCCCATGCTAGGAATAGAATGAGTGGGATTCGCCGTACGCAGTATTGCTCAGCATATAGTTGAAAATTCAACTATCGCCACGAAAGTGTGAGTTAGATTCACATAGCCCAAGTTTACAGGCTTGCAAAAGAAAAGCCTTGCTAGCCAGCCACTATAAGTAAAATGCCAGACACCCTACATATTCTGTCATCGGCTGACCGGGCTTACGGAGCCCGCAAGCGTTCCTTCAGTGCACAAAATAACACTGATAGATATGGCGAGGATGTGGTCCGCTAAGAGCCATCAAAAATGCCTGGAGTAGGAATCCCTAACCGCTCGAATTTAGACGGTTGCTGCCAATAAAACGGTATGTTTTCCCCTAATTCACCGTAAGTACCATTACAATGGTGTACAGGCACAATTTCAGCAGGGTCAAAAATAGATGAAATTGCCTTTAGTCGTCGTGTAGATTTAATGCACTTCGATGATTTAGGGGAACTGAAGGGAAAGCTTTGGTATGCAAAATTTGTCAAACGGTTTGCGTTCACAAGTAAAGCACACAACAACTGCTTTCCAACAACGGATAAGCTGTCAACGCTGTTAACGCCTACTGATTTATCTACGCCGTTGTTCAACTAGGTTAGCCGACAAATTTCCGCTTTTGCTTGAATGGTCGAGGCTAGTTCGTGATTGATGCAGACTTTTTCATGAATGCTGGAAAATGATACATACTGGATGATCTTATCACAGTCAAGCAGAAACACATTCAAAATGATACACTTATACAAAACTACTTTCCTGTCATTTGTGTCCTTTTGTGGGTGTGATCGCGTGTACCTGTGGGGATAGCTGAGGCAACTATAGTTCGAAGGCGCTGTGTACGTGCCCAAAAAGTTATTAATTGTTAAATTTTTTAATCCGAACTTTTGTCGACAAACGTGACTTTTCCAATCACCAACTGTTGAAATTACTTCCACATTTATAAGGGCAACTGAAGTCAGTATCTTTAATCAGATCAGGGAATTAAAAAGACGAGTGAGGCACCCACTCACCATGTTCAATCAAGTGCTCATTAAAGTACTTATCCACCTTAATTATGATGCGATTTCTTGACCTCTGACAGCTGACTCTGTGATAATAGCCGTCTGTTAATTGAACAGATGGTCCTTGAATGGTCTGCTTGAACCCACTTGTTTCCAGGGCGACGTGAAACTGTCCGGAGTCCTGAGACGTACCAATACAGGGAAGTAAAAGTGCAGAGAGCAGTGTAATCAGGTAGGTCCTAGTTTAAAAAATATTACTAGTCTAGAAAATTCAGGAATAGAGTAACCATTCCAATCGATGACATTAAGGTAGTTGATGCACAACCAAGCTTTGAAATAACCTGTAACAGACTTAGGGATGGTGAAAGTAGCTGGATAGACGGGCAGGGTGAACACACTGTTTTTAAATAATTAATCGTTTGTGGAGGAATGCGATCGTCTGAGTAGAAGTTTGGTTTATTGAGCAACAGGTTCGGCAATTTCGCTTAATGCCAACAAGCTTAAAAAGGCGAAAAGAAAGATGCGGCGAGTCAAAAATGGTGACACACGGGAGCATAATATATGCAAGTTAATTTCAAAAGGTTTTCTGCAACCAGGAAGCTAACAGTTATTCTCCTGATGGCTCTGATTAATCGGTTTCCTTTGTGATTTTATTCCCGACCTACTGTTCGGCTTCACCTCACAGATGGAAAGTAACTATCTAGCGAAACTTAACTCAGTAAAGATAATTATTCGTAGTTGCTTGAATGGTATAGTGCTAGGAAAAAGGCTGGTTAAGGCATTTGTGTGATATTGCCACATCATTGTAACTACAATGAGAGGAGAGTTTTCCATCTGTAACAGTCGGCAAAACTCAGCGATTTACTTTGGTGTCCACCACCCATGCCGACCCTCATAGAAACTCAGCCACAACACCTCTTTGAGAGGACATCATTTGAAGTTGGCCACACAGTATAGGCGGATGGCATGTTGTCGGCACTTTTTTTCATTTCGTGTATCTCAGCCATGGAACTTACCTCCGTAATTTGTCATAACTCTTCCTAAGTCATCCGAATTCAAAACTCCACTTGATGATGCATTGCACCGCCATCAGTACATGATTTAACCCAGGTTACTGAGACACGCGACAGCGTAACTAAACATTGTGTACACTTGAAATTTGCGATAAGTCCACCACTAAGCGTTTTGTTGTTTCAACACATCCGATTTTGATCTCACTCTTTACCTACGGCAAACTGTTAACCTTTTGCTTACCTATCCGTGATAAATATGTTGTTCCATTGTTCCAAGGCTGGTGAGTAGACCTACATTCTGTAACTTAGTAAGGTGCGCTTTAGGCTAGGTTAGTTCGATATCTGAATAACAAGGCACTTAACTACGAGCGATACCTAAGGCTTTCGAAGACACGGAGAGCCGGATGGAAGCGAATTTATAAAGTGTTAAGCCCAATTTGAGGTCGTGTCCAGTGCTTTAATGTCCACCTGCGGACAGTTGTATGTTCTGCCTATGAGAGTGACCGCAGACGGAGAAATGGTTAAAAGCAATGTGCTGTGATACGAGTTGATCGTATAAATTCAAGGAAGAAGGCAGTAGAATTCGCTTACCAGTGACAATTGTAACCACTGTGGGATAATGGGCTGCTCGTTATAATAGTCGGAGCGTCTGATTCCTTCTAGTGATATGTAAGATATAGAAGATACCGGGACTATCCACTTAACTTGTTGATGGCCAGAATAAAAACAATCACTTAATAGTCAAATAATTATGTCGAACTAACTTCAAATGAAAGTTCCCAGACCGATGGTTAAACTGACTGAAACCTTCATTCACAAGAGAGTTCTAGACAGTAATAATTTTGCAAAGATTTTTGGATCTGTCCCGCCTGGACACTCGCGGGGACATCGCCTGAAGCTCAAACATATTAAAGGCCTAGGTTAGGTAGCATGGCAGACTCATCCACGAATAGAGCCTTTCGGATTCAAAATGAATTTCACACTACCTCGTTATATAAGCGAACGTTGTTACAACAAGTGGATTAGTTGTTATTCGGACAGTTGCTTAATCTTGAGAACCATGTTGCAAATGCTTCGTCACTAATCAAGATGTCACTATCAGTGCGCTGATGTGTAGCGGAGCAGAGCGATACGGGAGCAGACGAATCTGGTAGCTGTGTATGTGTTCGTACAGGTCAGCATCGTTGACTGTTTGGGCAGCATTTTGCTGATTGATCAACAAGCAAGGGACTCTTGAAACTGACTTATTATATACATGCTCCGTGGCTGTTACCTGCTTACCTCCATTGTCCGACCTGTTGGGCTTGTATCCCTTGGAGTATTCGATAGCGTTTGTGGTTATTTGCTAGCATGGCTGCGTATGTGGCATCCAATTAAACTTGCCGATTGATTGAATTGGTTATGTAATGCCATGCTACTATGAATATTTGATGGAATTATTTCGGAATCAACACATGATAACAGGAAACCTGCAACCAGAAAGTGTATGTATGCCACTGGATATCTGAATGACCATGTATCTCTACTTTGTTCACCAAACAGCGATCGTGAATGCCCACGGGATCACCAGTATCAAGGCTCGTTGCCAAGATCGCAATGCGGAGAATGCAATGCATTAAAATGCCGGCTTAAAGCTTTGAATCTAATACATAAGGACTATGTTTGTCATCAATAAACGAAGGTCAATAAAAATAAGTGCAGCTTGTGCTACGCCACATTCGAGGACATTAAGTAAGGAACGCGAAATCTGTCATCCCTGAATGTGTTGGTTAGCATGATTACCGATAGAACATTTCGAATTTTCGTATATCGGAAGAATACACGCGGCTAAATTTTAAATCGCCCTAGCGCCTATCCGTTTAGCTACACAACATGCTGCGTTCAAACTCTATTCAAGAGAGTGAAAATATATTTCACGCAGCGTAATTGCTAAGCAAGGATGGAAACCAAGTATACTTGGACATTAAGGTCGCATACAAAGTACTGCGAACCAAGCCCTTGAAGCCGCACTAATGATGTTGCCTTGTCAGGCAACAAAACGTCTACACAATAATCACTCAGCTCGGAGAATAGATCAAAATCCGCAGCCACACTCCGAGCTACGAGTATTCTCATTCATTTAAAATGTGCTTTATCACTGAGAGGGCATGGTCGATAGGTGCTATTTTAATTGTTGCCTACATTTACCGGAGGTTGCTTTTTTCCTCACCTTGCTCTGTTTGCAATAAGCAAAATCAGTCAAGACAATGAAATAGTGCATTCAGCACGGATACAATGTCCAATGTTTAATACTTTCCGAAGTTAAATAGTGAGACCAAAGAGCGAATTCATCCAGAAAAATAACGTGTACCGGTGGACTCACGGCAATTGTGACATACACCCATGGTTAGCTACGTTGTCCCGTGTCCCAGTAAGTTTGGATAACTCATTAATGACATTGGCGTAATACACCATCAAGTCGGATTTTGGCATCGACTAACGTAGGATATGACAGACATGACATGACAGAATGCGGAAGTATGCTTCACGGCTAAGACACATGAATGGAGAAGTAGTTCTAGCGGCATTCCAACCAGCTATACTGTGTGACCAACTTCAAATGGTAGCCACTCAGTGAAATGTTGTAGCCAAATTTCCATACCTGTCGGAACGGGTGGTTTGGATCCTTGTGGATCTGATGCAATACCTCTCAGACGAACATACTGTCCGCTTATCTGGTAAGCGAGGTGGAGCAAGCGCAAAACATTTTAGTCGCTCTCCATTGTAGATTCGCAAAAGCAGCGAGGTCATGATTTTGCGATAGGTTCCAAACTTGGATGGTTATTTCACATGTGACCACACGCAAGCGTGGAACATTTGTGTAACGAATTTAAGATCGAACCAGTTAAAAACTCTCCTCATAGGCCCTTATGTTGATTAACTTTTCCTCTGCTTTCTCGGTCTCTTTGGAGCGTCTGATATGGTTCCGCATGGACACCCAAGATCATTTTCATGAGAAGCGCGTTGAGGAATGCGTTCCCCTAGGCGCTATTTGTAGGTGCTCTGGTGGCATATGTCAATTAGTTGAGATTTGACAAGGTTAAACTCCAGCATGTTCTGAGCTGACCACTGGTAGACCACGTAAATATCACCTTGTAGTGCTACGTGCTCGTCTACTCTAATGATTGTCTACCGCACCGAGTAAAAGGTTTAAAATCAGCACTCCTGCGCTGTTTTCATGAACATTTAAAATAGCCCTGGTCCGAGTACCTAGTAGGACAGAGCGCTACGAACTTATATATTCAAGCGGCATTGAAGTACGTATTAATGTACCCAGCCTATGATTGGACCCCGGATCTTATGTCCCCCGAGCTCATAAAGGAGAATACACTAAGCTAGGTAATCGAAATCCTTCAAAATTTCAAGTAGGCGATTTCGACTCTTTCCTCATCATCATCAACAGATGCCGTCCGGCTGACGTGGGCTAACATAGTCTTGTGGCAAATCAGCGGTTTTGGCGAAAGCCATGTTGCGCCGAAACGATGATAGTGTACCTTTCCAAATGTTCCATAAGTGCTTCTGGAACGAAAGATTCCGTGACTTTAGCAAGTACAGGAAGAAAGGTAATTGAAAGGTAGGTGAATATTGGGTGTTGAAAAACGAAGATCCCTCCACCACAGGTTGGAAAATTATTTGTTCTCATCATGCAGAGAATGCAGGCATCGCACGCGGACTCATTGGCATGTTAATTGAAAGTCCTACTCCTTTAGCTACCGAATCACGTAATACAATGCTCGTTAGATTGCGATTGCGCGTCATAATCCATTCACAAAACAACGCTTCAAAATGACCCACAAGTCAAGTAGTAGGGCGGTAATTTGTAGGCACAGTGCAATGGGCCCCTAGTAAATGGAGGGGACTATTCCGGGTTTCTACATAATTGGAACTTGTATCTCGTCGTGGCAGCGCTGGAAAAACGGAGAAAACGGATCAGTCAGACCCATGACAGCTACTTCCAATGACCTGGGGTGTATTTTGTCCGGACGTTTAAATCGGCCGTTGCCTATTCAGTGGAACATCGCTTTTACCTTACCTGTTGCGGATAAAACAGCATTTTCGGTTTCATTACTTCAAAGTCATCAGAGCTATGATGCGTTGACTTTTTGAAATCTAACTGAGCTGCCTTGCT